TATATCAACTGTAGTAACAGTTCTGTAATTTATATTGACCATAACAGATAATTTCCACTACTGTAATTCATATTGACCTCCGTAATTCAGATTTCCTACTACAAATATTTACAGTACTGTAACATTGACATTGAAATAATAGTGTATCAATGTCAACGCAGTTACGTCTATTTTGATTCATAATTATGGTCTTAATTCTGTTTGTTTTCAAATCATTCATAGTACATTACACAAACATATTTATTAATTTATTGGTAATTTATATAACTTACGTATAGATGAAAGAAGGATGTTTCTTAATGACAATGAAAAATGGTAAAGGCAAGGTCTCGCGCAGAATATTTCTTCAGATTTCGATCATGATAGTGATGACAGGTATCAAAGAAAGAGAAGACAAAAATAACGGGTAAACAAATAACTTATAAACAATTTGAAGTATTCCATACTAATATGTCGTTCTTTTTATCGTGTACGCACATACCACTTACAATTTACAACTCAGTATTTATATAACCATTCATCATACCGTCGATGAACCAAGTGATTAGCGCACTACCTAGCGGAATGGACAGCACGCGCCACCGTACACGCGCCAAGCAGACGGTGTGTGGTACACAGTCTGGTTAGACTCATTCCTTCAATTCGAGCCTTGTCTGTACAGAAACAACATGCACACCGATAACTCCAGACGAGATCTGTAAGCCCTCCATATCTCTCTCTGTTTGGGTCAACCCGTTCGACATGATGAGTTGTGACTAGTGATGGGGTGGTGGCTGAATTTCATTTGTCTTTTGAAGAGAAAGCTTTGGTCATTGTTTTGGAAAATAGAGTATAATAATAAATAAATAATGGAAAATTCATAGAAATATTTGAGAACATTGTATGCCACATCAAAATAATTAATAACCATAATTGTTACGTTTTAAAAAAAAACAGTTTTAACAACGACATCCAATGCAAACCGATTTTTAAAGAAATGCACCGATGACGTCATAGCTACTGTTGTTGTTACGCTAGATAACGTAGATAATACTTTTTTAATTTATGCGAAAGTATGTTCTGTCTTCATGATAAAGCTCTGACGCCTGATCTCGGCCTCGGATCACCCCTGTGTTCTCCACCTGATGCAGATCTTTACAGGGATGATCCGAGTCCGAGACCGATGGACATATTAGTAGCATATAAACAGCGTTGCTATACAAAATATGTATCCTTACTCTCCGTGTTAACAGTCCCGGCGAAGCCATGGCTTACCAGTAGAAAATTGATTAACAATGAGACTCGCTACAGAATACATATTCAAACAAACCGTCCAATTTTAACTAGTAATTTTCCATGTAACACACCACGGCGTGACCTCAAAATATCAACACTTTGTCAGGGTAACGAGAAGGACATTTGTTTAAAATTTGGCTGGGAGAAATTGCATATGAAGTAAGAGATGTCTCAGCCAATCAGAGCTAGTACAGATATCGAAAACTGGTCATAAGTTGATAAGTTTCGCTTTCTTTTTGTTAACTTCAACCATTAAACGCGGAGAAGAAGTAGACATGTATTTGTCCGATATTCCGGAACATGCCCTGCTTAGTCTCTGATCCCAAGAACAGCATTGGATCCCTTCATCGAACCGTGTACAGAACTAAGAGTGGATACAAAAAATTACATGATTCAAAAAGTAGATCTATACCGAAAACATATGACAAGATGATATGTGCAGAATGTCTAGTTTTTATTTGTGTGTAAAACAATTTCAAAATGATCGGATTATATTGAATTAAGGATCCCAGGGGTACCGCTGCCAAAAACAGAAACTATGCATTTGAAAATTATTTGTTCCGGCATGACTATATAGTTTTGATAAATAATTTCTGAAAAGAAGAGCATACTTTGTGGGACTTTTATGAAAAAATAATGGAGATGAAATAAACACAAAATAATCAGCAGCAGTGTTTAACAGAGTGTCAACAATTCAGCGTAGCTAGACCAGGCTTCTCAATTGTTGTACTAACGCTCTAACTGTTTGACCTACTTCTACCATATAGTGACCACCTTCAACGGATTGAAGATTTTGTCACGAAGTTGGGTTTATGCAGCACAAATGACAGACTATATATAATACACAATAATTAATAATTATTCACTTAGTTAAAGTTAAGATAAGGAAAATTTAGTTCGAGGAGAGTCCGGGAGAGAGGTCCGAGCAAGCCAGTGATTGGGCAGCCCCCACCGACAAAGCTTGTTCGGAAAAGGGGGAAAAGAAGAGAAGTGGTGAATTATTATGTTAAGTCTGTGCAAGTAACTAATTACTCTGCATCTTCAATTGTATAGGTGTGCATGGAAAGAGATGTTTTGAAAGAGTTGAAAGTAGGTGCATTAACGATGGCAGATGGTAATTTGTTCCAGTCTAGTATGGTACGAGGAAAACATGATTGTTGTCTAGTTAGTGTTTTCGAGTATTGCTGTTGGTATTGGACCTGGTGGGAATTTCTAGAAATTCTTCTGGCTCGGTGCATCCTGTCAGTCGTGGATATGGCCACCGTGACTTGATGAATTTTATGGACCATATTTAGGCGTGCATCTTTCCTACGCATTGACAGGCTGTGCCAGCCAAGAGTACCAATCATATCTGTTACACTAGAGGTATTCCGAAAGCGATTCGACACATATCGGACTCCTCTCCTCTGGACCATTTCTATTTTGTTGATATTATTTTTTGTGTACGGATATTCTAAAGAGGGCCTGATTTTTAGGTTTCTTCTGGGAATCTACGTGAGAGTCCCATTTCTAATCTGATCTGAGGGTTACACCTAGGTATTTCACAGAATCAACATGTTTTGATATTTGGCCATGAAGGGAATAATTAAAAATGACAGGGGATTTTTTCTTAGAAATTGTGAGAGCATAACACTTATCTGGGTGGAAATCCATTAACCATTTTCTTTCCAAAAGGGCTAGTTTGCCCAGGACAGACTGTTGGGACCTTGTATCATTCTCTGACGTAATTATCAGATATACGACGATGCTATCCGCAAACAGTCTGACCGTGGAGTTCAAGTTTAATATAAAAAAGGAATGAGACTAGGCCCCAATAAAGATCCCTGGGGGACGCCTGATAAAACTGGTACATACTCAGATTTGACGCCTTCAACAAGTACTGATTGGGTTCTTTTATTTAAGAAGTTTGAGATCCAGGAAGTAGTTTTATCATCTATACCATAATTCCTGAGTCTGTTGGTAAGAAGGGAGTGGCTGACCTTATCAAATGCTTTCGAGAAATCCATAACCAATATATTTGATTGTTTTGATTTGTCAATAGTTTTGGTAATATCGTCAACAAATTCTAAAAGTTGTGTTTCACTGGATCTGAATTTTCGAAAACCATGTTGGCGAGGATACATAATTGTAGTATCTGATTGTGACATGATGTGTGAAACTATGACATGTTCCATTAATTTACAACAAATGCAAGTGAGTGAAATAGGTCTGTAATTAACAGGATCATATGTTTGACCTTTTTTAAATATTGGAGCAATATGGGCGGTTTTCCAATCTTGCGGAACAGTGCCAGATTGTAGGGACGAGATGAATATTATACTCAAAATGGGGGCAATTTCACTAGCCAATTCCTTCAAAATTCTTTGACTCAAGTCGTCTGGGCCTGGTGCTTTGGAACTATCAAGATTTTTTTAGTAGTTTTGGAATACCATTCGGGGTAGTGAGGGAGGTGTTCATGGTTGGATATATCTGATCTGGATTCATATAATTTTCTTTAGCAAAGACGTCAGGAGATATGTTTTTGGATGTAGAGAATACCGACTCGAATTGCTTATTGAGTTAGTTTGCTTTTGAATAGGAATCTGAAATGAACTTGCCATCCTCTTTTAGATGGGGGATACCTGTGAAGTCTGTTTTCTTTTGTTTTATGTAGGTCCAATTTTTTTTCCTACATGTGAAAGTTCCATTGACCGAAGTCTCAACTGGATTAACTATGTTTTCTATATATTTCCAATACTCATGGCGAATCTTTTTTTTGGATGGAATGTTTCAGTTCTTTATATTTCTTTGTAAGATCTTTATCATCAGACTTTCTTGATTTTTTAAATAATCTGTTGCGTTTACTAATCAAATGTTTAATTTCATGAGATATCCAGGGTTGGCTTTCTTTTGGTTTTGATATTTTGTGTGGTATATGCATATTCACCAAAGAGTTCAAAAATGACTTGAAATCACACAAGATGGTATTAGTATCAGAAATATGCTCCTTATTAGAAAATTGAAGTTTAAGATAACAAAATTCTAACTCATTCTTCATAGTTAGCTTTTTTTGTATAATGGAATTTGACTTGGTTTTTGTTTTTGCTTTAAAGTAGATGCTAGGAATTCAACAAACACAATAACATGATGCCAGGCATAACTTCAATACGGCTTATGAGAAGATTTTTAAAAAAATGCTGTTTTCCTGACTGGAGTAGATGAGTGCCCTGGATTAAATACATTAAAAGAGGTCTTTGGACTCATCTGGCTATCGAAACCTTTTACGGAATCTAGAAATAAGCTTTCAAAAGGATTTGGAGTACAGATACTGTGCATATCAAATAAAAGAGTAGAGTCATTTGGGTTATCACAAATAATACAGTGCCAGCTAACCATACTATCGTTCAATTCCTCGTATGACGCGCTGTTAATGTTTTGACAGTCCACATGAAACCACTGGTCACATGTTTGACAGACAATACCCTTATGTTCCCAGGTAACGGTCTTATCAAAGTTATCACAAAGATATTTAGTGCTATCGTTGCTTGGTCCTGGGTTGGATTCAATGTCATTAGCTCTTAACATGACTAAGACCAGCAGTGGAAGTACCCTTGTCCTACTGTTGTACACTTTTATCAAACAACAAAATTAAGGAGAGGTTACTATATATACGAAAAACCACGGTGTAGAAGGATAGACATCACCAAAGAAAAAAATGTCCGAACCGTTGTTACGGCTCCGTAATTAGATTTGGTTCGATCACGAGGCTACACTTTTCACTACACGCCTCAAAGTTGTTGCTCGATGGGAAATCCTCGGTGAGTATATACGGTTGTGATGTCGATTTTTTGGTCGTTTACTAGTGTTTTCTTCCTATAGAAACAATTGTTATAGGATAACATGCATTGGAGGTAAGAATTGGTTATCATCTAGTAGAACAAACAACTTGAAAATGAATAGCATATAGAAACCGAAAGTACAGGTTCCGGGTAGGAAATGTAGGACAACAGTGTTAAAACATGATGCGTTTGTTCCGTTTTTTGTACATGCAGCTACTATTGTATCGTTCCCATATTAATATCTGTGTTGAAAGGGTGGGTGTGTTTGGGTGGAAGGGGTTTGTTGTTTGGGTGGAGGGGGTGGGTGTGTTTGGGCGGAGTGTATGTTTGGGTGAAGGGTGGGTGTGTTTGGGTGGAGTGTGTATGTGTGTTTGGGTGGAGTGTGTGGTGTGTGTGTATTTGGGTGGAGTGTGTGTGTGTTTGGGTGGAGTGTGTGTGTGTTTGGGTGGAAGGGGTTGGTTGTTTGGGTGGAGTGTGTGTGTGTTTTGGTGGAGTGTGTGTGTGTGTGTGGTGTGTGTGTGTTTGGGTGGAGTGTGTGTGTGTTTGGGTGGAGGGTGTGTGTGATATTTTATGGACATTTAGTAATTACAACATTAGTTCATGGTCATATGATCATAATTATCGAGAAACATAAATAGTCGTTCTAAAAAACAACAAATTTCCTTGTATAATGTGTATAATGAATGTCTGCAAAATAAAGATATCGACACATCGAGAAAGTGTGTAATAGTAATGTGACGAACAGGAAATGATTAAAAAGAATCACTAATAAATAGCTTTAATATCATTGTATACGTCGTACTCGTGAGATTACACACAACAGAAACGAAATCCTAATTAATCTTTATAAGAATAATAAGTTACGGATCTACTTTTTGCTGCTTTTTAGCTCACTTTGTTCAATGACCGATGAGCAATGCCATGTCCGCCCGTCCATCTGTCTGAATAGATGTAATCATGCTCCGGAAATTTTATTCTGGGGTCCATTTCCACCCTGGGGGTTGGGTCAAATAGAGAAATCTGGTCGAGATCCTTTACTTAAAGATTTATATTTGATTCCTTGATATGAAGAGATGAATACACATTTGCACCGTAACTCGACCTTGATTCCGTCCCTACAACGGGACCCAACATGCAATGTGTGTCATGAACAAAAGCCCCACCCTATAACCATATACATAAAGCCCACCCTATAACCATATACATAAAGCCCCACCCTATAACCATATACATAAAGCCCACCCTATAACCATATACATAAAGCCCACCCTATAACCATATACATAAAGCCCACCCTATAACCATATACATAAAGCCCACCCTATAACCATATACATAAAGCCCACCCTATAACCATATACATAAAGCCCACCCTATAACCATATACATAAAGCCCACCCTATAACCATATACATAAAGCCCACCCTATAACCATATACATAAAGCCCACCCTATAACCATATACATAAAGCCCACCCTATAACCATATACATAAAGCCCCACCCTATAACCATATACATAAAGCCCACCCTATAACCATATACATAAAGCCCACCCTATAACCATATACATAAAGCCCACCCTATAACCATATACATAAAGCCCACCCTATAACCATATACATAAAGCCCACCCTATAACCATATACATAAAGCCCACCCTATAACCATATACATAAAGCCCACCCTATAACCATATACATAAAGCCCACCCTATAACCATATACATAAAGCCCACCCTATAACCATATACATAAAGCCCCACCCTATAACCATATACATAAAGCCCACCCTATAACCATATACATAAAGCCCACCCTATAACCATATACATAAAGCCCACCCTATAACCATATACATAAAGCCCCACCCTATAACCATATACATAAAGCCCACCCTATAACCATATACATAAAGCCCACCCTATAACCATATACATAAAGCCCCACCCTATAACCATATACATAAAGCCCCACCCTATAACCATATACATAAAGCCCCACCCTATAACCATATACATAAAGCCCCACCCTATAACCATATACATAAAGCCCCACCCTATAACCATATACATAAAGCCCCACCCTATAACCATATACATAAAGCCCCACCCTATAACCATATACATAAAGCCCCACCCTATAACCATATACATAAAGCCCCACCCTATAACCATATACATAAAGCCCACCCTATAACCATATACATAAAGCCCCACCCTATAACCATATACATAAAGCCCCACCCTATAACCATATACATAAAGCCCCACCCTATAACCATATACATAAAGCCCCACCCTATAACCATATACATAAAGCCCCACCCTATAACCATATACATAAAGCCCCACCCTATAACCATATACATAAAGCCCCACCCTATAACCATATACATAAAGCCCCACCCTATAACCATATACATAAAGCCCCACCCTATAACCATATACATAAAGCCCCACCCTATAACCATATACATAAAGCCCCACCCTATAACCATATACATAAAGCCCACCCTATAACCATATACATAAAGCCCCACCCTATAACCATATACATAAAGCCCCACCCTATAACCATATACATAAAGCCCCACCCTATAACCATATACATAAAGCCCCACCCTATAACCATATACATAAAGCCCCACCCTATAACCATATACATAAAGCCCCACCCTATAACCATATACATAAAGCCCCACCCTATAACCATATACATGTATACATATGCTCCACATCATTAGGCAAATACATTGATGCTTGTACTCGTCCTGGGGACAAGACCCACTAGGCAAATTGAGTCATAGTGTGAAAACCCTTGAGATTCCCTACCTACATAGTGAAACAAATGCATCGATGTTACCAGGATTAGCCCCTCAGTTGGTCCGTCCCCATTCAAACGGACCTAGTCACTTGGTTATAATATGGATACCCACTCTATCACTATATATATATATATATACATACAATTGATCTACTGAAAAGATATGCCACTAAGACCTACCCTAAGATAGAGCTCTGTCAACTTGGTTGCTAAGGAAATTGTAGAGATCCCTGTCATATAACCATGCATACAGCTGCTGGGCATGATGAGAAGAATGCACCCATGCTTCCATAATTACCAAAGTGGTCCCGAAGACCCCAGGGGACTATATACTTATGTTTTCACCTGAATATAGTACAACAATTTCTGGGTATGAAGAGACAAATGCACTCATGCTACCGTGATTGGTCTTTGGGTCAATACCTTCCCCTGGAAAAATTGGTCATAACATGGAGAAAATATTCGGGAAATATTTGCAGTGTTGTATCTGATGAGAAAAGTTTGCTAGTATTGCTTAAATACACAGGTGAGCGATACAGGCAATCATATTGAATACTGCTATAAATACATTATATATAAGGAAAATTGAATTATGGGTTCACGCTGATTTTCAGCAATTTAAAAAATGAAACTATTTAACGTGTCTCCTAATTTTTTTAGAATGTACGATAGTGTAGTGGTAGGACACCGGACTCATGACCGAAGGGTTCAGGTTCAAGTCATGGTATGGTACCGTGTTGTATCTTTGAGCAAGATACTTTACTCCGCTTGTTCCAGTCTACTCAGCTGTAAATGAGTACGTGTTTGGGCAGTGCTAGAATTGTAGAATGCTAGCCATGAGCCCCGAAATGGCAGCACCGGCTGTATGCTCCCAATGGAGTTGAGAAAGATATTGGCTGGTTGCAAAGACCCTATAACCACGGATTATTTGAGAACCGCTTTGAGACGACCTACGAACTAGGTTGTGATAAAGCGGTATATAAGAACCTCTAACTATTATTTATTATATTATTATTATCAAAAGTTATTACATGTATGAAGCTTTTTGGTTACTACTACTCAATCATAAAAGTGTGCCAGAATGATTAAATATAGTTTCAAAAATAACTGACAAGAAAACAATACACCCTCCCACCATGAAAGAGGGTTATTATGTCAACGGTGATTTCTCCAAGATTACAATTGATTCTACAAAGTTATTTTACATACCGGTCTATTTCATATGGTTTTCTCTTAATTCTTACATATTTCATTACTGTTTTCAGATAGCAGCTACTTGTTTAGGCACAATGGCAGAAGGGGGATCCCTTCCTATTCATTCCAACAGTCCTCAATTGGATCCCCACCTGTTAGAGTGTCCTATCTGTCTGGAACAGTTGCACCAGCCGAAGTCGCTCCCGTGTCTGCATTCGTTCTGTCACGAATGTCTGTCCACGTTTATCAGCAAGGACCTGTCAGGAAAGATGGCGTCAGTGACTTCCTTCCCGTGTCTGGTTTGTAGGAAGATGACACAGCCAGTTAATCCGTCGAAGGACAAGGGAGAGTGGGCCCAACAGTTCCCTACCCACAGTCTGATACAAGACATGATCGAGACCAAGACAGAGGAACCACTCCATTGCAAACCTTGCGAGAAGAAAGGAAATGCGGGAACCCCTGCCAAGGTCTGGTGTAAATCGTGTAAAGTTCTGTTCTGCGAATCGTGTAAGGAAAACCTCCATGACTTGTTACATGAAGGATGTGATACAGTGGATGTATCAGACTCCAGAGGGTTGAAGATAACTCCGGGGGTTTCGTCGACGTTTTTGTGTAAAACGCACACTGAAAAGATGGACTACTACTGTGAGGACCACAAGGTTGTAGGCTGCAGTAGATGTGTTATGGCTGATCACAAGCGCTGTGAATGGACCTCAACACAAGATTTCTGTGAACAATTAAAGAGGAACTCAAGACTGGACAAATTAAAGAAATCTCTACAAAAAGTGTCAGAAGACATCGAAGGACAAGGGAGAGTGGGCCCAACAGTTCCCTACCCACAGTCTGATACAAGACATGATCGAGACCAAGACAGAGGAACCACTCCATTGCAAACCTTGCGAGAAGAAAGGAAATGCGGGAACCCCTGCCAAGGTCTGGTGTAAATCGTGTAAAGTTCTGTTCTGCGAATCGTGTAAGGAAAACCTCCATGACTTGTTACATGAAGGATGTGATACAGTGGATGTATCAGACTCCAGAGGGTTGAAGATAACTCCGGGGGTTTCGTCGACGTTTTTGTGTAAAACGCACACTGAAAAGATGGACTACTACTGTGAGGACCACAAGGTTGTAGGCTGCAGTAGATGTGTTATGGCTGATCACAAGCGCTGTGAATGGACCTGAACACAAGATTTCTGTGAACAATTAAAGAGGAACTCAAGACTGGACAAATTAAAGAAATCTCTACAAAAAGTGTCAGAAGACATCGATACACTCATACATGAATTCAGTGAACAACTGAAGACTATGACCGACGATCAAGACATCGCTCTCAAGAGTCTAACCGATCTCCGTCAAAGGGTGGACACGCGTCTTGACGCTCTACAGAAGAACATAACTGATGAATTGGTAGCAGCCTGCAAAGAAGAGAAAGACAATGCTGAGATGGTTACGCAGAAGTACGAAAGGTTGATGTCATCTATACGAAGCACACTGGAAGCTTCCGAGAAGGCTCACTTGATGAATAACAACATGGAGACAATATTGTTGTACCATAGAGGACAATTAGAATTGGATTTGTTGAAGAAACTTTCCAGTGAGACGAGGGAAACATTTACGTCCTTACGATTACAGCACGACATTGATGCTAGTCTGGTGAACTTTGACCACACCTCTCTGCTGTCCATGGGGAAAATTGTCATCAAGAAGGAAAAGGGTTGTCTGTCCAGTCTATTCACCAAACCTTTGTCAGACTGTTGCATAAAGGAGGTTCACACGTTTAACATCAAGCGTCCATCGGACAGTAAGGATTGCTACGCACGCGGAATTGTTTACCTTCCCAGTGACTTAATCATTGTAACGGACGGACACAACAAGAAACTGAAGTTGTTCACCGTAGAAAGAGCCTTTATTGACGAACTGGTCTTTGCAGGAATACCGTATGACGTGTGCCTTGTGGATCAAACGTCTGTAGCTATTACTGTGCAAAGTGGTACTAGCAACGCCATACATGTTGTCGATGTGGAAAACTTCAAATTAGTATTTACATACGAAATAAACCTGTCTCAATGGATGTCTTGTCGAGGTATTACCTTCACAGGTAAAGAGTTCGTGGTGTGTACAGCTAAAGAGTTCGTGAAGGTGACAAAAGAAGGCAGGACTGATTCAATGCCAGGATGGGGTAACGACTGCTTTGTTTTGGCTTACGATGCAAATCAAGAATGCCTTTATGGTAGCTTTCTGAATTCCATCGTCTGTCGTCAACAGTCAGATAGCACAAACATGAAAAAATGTACTGTGCAATCTGTGACGGAGATGTTTGGGATTGATGTGGACAGGGACGGCAATGTATACGTATGTGGATGTTCTTCGAACAACGTCGTACAGATGTCTGGGGACATGAAAAACGCTAGGAAACTGTTGACTTCATCAGATGGTCTGAAAAATCCTAGGGCAATATCTCTGTGTGGAGAAAGGTTTGCGGTTACAACTGTATCTGAGGAAAATAGGAACAAAGTGCGTGTGTTTCAACTTTATTGAACACCAGTATGGTCATGGCAAATAAACGAATCTATCTTCCTATTTTAATTAATTGCCTTGGTGTCAGTAGAATGTTACTTTTAGATGCTACCATTCACGTAGTAATATTCAACAGTGTTAAAAGAAGACTCTCATTAAGAACTGGTATTAAATGTCGTCAATGTCCCCAAAACGAAGTGTGTGGACTTCTTGTTTTTACTCGGTTTCTTCTTCTTTTGTGATTTTGTACGGAAGTTTTTCTCAGAAACTGCAAGTCACCTTCTCGTAAACAAAGGGCCTCTGATGACCTCTTATTTATCATTAGTATCATTTATGCTGCAACATTTCATGTGTGTTTACCAAAATAACTTTTTCTTGCTTAGAGTTACTTCCATTTGCAAGGCATTTATCTTTTAGGTGGTCGTCACTAAGACGTTCAGGGTTCAAATCCCCGTTCAGATGTGAAAAGGTACATGGTTATCTGCTCGACCTTAAAGGGTTTCTCAAGGTACTTTTAGAACTTGATTCACTATTGCTGTAAAATAAATGAAGTTAAACTGATTCTTCTTCCATCTTGATAGAGTGCAATTACAATTCCTTAAAAGGATTGGTAGTTAATATGTCCAGAGTTCGATCCCTGAAGTTGTCTGGGTTTGTTTTTTTATTTCCAAAAACTCAAATTTGTAACAACTCTGATTCTGTAAAACGCATCCCAAGATGAGTTTATATGGAGTAATTATTTGAAGAAAATTTTAAAACATTGTATCACAGTACCAATTGTGATAACATATTTTAACCTGATGGTATCCTTAAACTTAATGTCTATTGTATTATACGCTCGTGGATGTGTTTCAGTAAATTTCAACTAGAATATTTTGCAAATGATTACTACAGAGGCACTTTACTAACCCGAACCATATTCAACCATTCTTATCGCTCAGAAAATTCAGACTTGACATAACAAAAGTTTGATCCTAATAGCAATAAATGTAGCATAATCTGGTGAACGTTCAGGTGAAATTTAAAAGGAACATCACGTGGCATTATCGCGTACATAGTTAAGATGTTCCATATAGGGCCGCATAGGTAACGATCAGAAAGCTTGATTCAATTGAAAGCGGGTGGAGGCGGCTTTAACAGGAGATATGACTCCAAAATGAGAAAAAATTGTGCCAGCCACTGCATTTCAGAAGTATTGTATTCGGAATTTCGTATATCTCAGAAATATCCGAAAGTTGAAGTGAAGGGGAATTATAGAATCGATATACACTCGAACTGTAATGTATACATGTCTATGGTTCTCGGGGGACGAGACACTTGTCAGTAAGCTGCTGACGATAGGTGATCTGAAAAGATGAAAAATCTGTGGTGACAAGTGCAGCGACATGAAAAGGAGGGGCTTATGACATGGCGCAACGTGTGTCCGGCGTCAACGTTTTTCTTCTGAGTAATCAACATGTTTATGCTAATGCTATTATGCTAATAAGCACGTAGTATTTTGAAAGTGGAGGGCTACACAATTTATTCATATTTTTGACCTTGACTTTTTCTTAAAGGTCACATGGATCTTGTGGAAACCTGTGAGCGACTCGTGGATAATCAAAAGGCCGCCAAGGGAAATGATATATGGCAAGTGGTATGCTTATTCTGAGTTTTTGAATAACGATATTTGGCCTGTAGCTTAAAGGTGTGATTTACTTTTGAAATGAAGGCTCTCAATGAACGACCTGGATATACGTTATAGGTTGCATGAATTGAAATCTTCAAACGGAAAATTATATTGAGTCAAGATATGATTAGCCTGTTGATAAGTGACAACTAGGCAATACAGGCCTATTCGGTCTCTTGCTCAATTTTTAAATAAGGTAACGATGATTAGTAGTCGTATTTGACTTTACTTTCAAATGTTGTCTATTGACGGTTTTTCCTTTAATCTTTTAATATAGAATTTTAGCAAACTCAACGAAAAACTAAGTTAGTCATCTTATATAGGGATTTTATAAACACCCTCTATGTTAGATATCACATGTACGTAGGTATTTACAGCAATACTAAACAGTCCGGCGATACCTTTGTACCGGTAACAAGCTCAATGAAGTCAAGGTAATCGAAGCGGATACATATGATGTATATCAAAATGACTTTACACATATTTATGATTGATACAAAACATGTTACGTGTTTATAGCGATCTTTTCATAGAATTGTGATTGATAAAAAATATACCTCTCAAACAAGTTCAATTCTCGTAAGAAAAAAAAATGTCTTTGGAAAGCATACCGTATCGCCATGTTTGCTTTTCTTAAAATGTCCGCCCTAAAACTGTTCATATCTATAAATGTGCAGGCATTTTCCTGTTCCGACTTCAGCCCGAGCTCTCCCGTGCTGATGAGGTGTAAAATACGGATTTAACGAATTAGCAAATCTAAACATTTGGACCAAGAAATTGTTTAAGGTATTAATGTTTAATTCGAAGCTGAAATTAAATGATGAATAATACTGATTGAGTACATTATCCTAGATTAAGTTTGATCCACACAACATAATCCAGATAATGGGATTTACAAACACAGCTCCCAGATCGATCAAGTGGAGCGACGTGGTGTAGAGCGGACTCAATCATTTTTTATTTGAACTCGATAGAGAGCTGCTTCCTCGTTGATATGAAAATGATGGAGGTTTTGTTATCTTTAATTTCAGCTAGACACATGAAGTAAGGCAATTTGATGAATGAGTATATTTCACCGAACGAAGTGCATTACAATCGGGCGATAAGGAAGGAATACAGACACGAGCACCTTATTTGTTAGAAATGAAACACAAGTGCACACTAACACCATGCCTCACTGAGACAACATAGAGGAACAGAGAAACGTTTTCTTAACGAACTCGAGTCAACACATTTTAACATTGAGCAGTGATAATTAACTGAATATACAGTTACGTGGACAGCCTTATCAACTATCAACATAGTTTGACACAACTTAGTGAATACTGCTGTCATGAAAATAATCCGGTCAGGATGCACTCATTTTGTGAATATCTGGTCATTTCCTTAATTTTTATTCTAAACTACATGAAATGCAACCATTATCAGAAAAAGTACGTAATAATTTGTCATAAAAAGTTGCATATCTGCTTGCTGGAAGTACAGTAATGAAACTAAGATGTAGTATTTTTTCGTCGCGGGCGTTGTGTGTGGAGGTGTGAAAATAGCGAAATATATAACGTAACGCATGTGCGTTGCATGGCTCTTCTGTCAATGACAACATTGGCAGACAAAAGTGGACATTTTCGCATATTTTGAGACGACAAAGGCAATGTTCCATGTAGAAACTGGATACAGGGAATTCACAAGTGACATTGTGTTACTGATTTATTAGCTATGATGTTGTATGAACAGGTCTTCATGGGTTCAAATGTGAAAAAAACCCTACTCTGTACAGAATCCTATATATCTACTGCATAACAATGTTAAAAGAGTCGAGTCGCATCTTCACTGGTTCATTTGATGATATGATTAGTTAGGTACAGATCTAATAATCACGAAAACACTGAAAAATCATACTAAAGTAAGGAGTTGCGTTACTCAGTTTGTTAACTGCGATGGCCCTTTAGTAGTCAAAGACTTTTTATGGCAATATGTGTGGCGGATTATAGCTTATAGGATGTGCCGCTCTACAGCTACACGTGCAATGAAGTGTCATCAAAGGAGATCAAATGGCAGTTTGACAGAGCACACTAACGCCTGTCAGATTTTCTAGTTTTGATTACAAAAGGATAGTGACTTATCGTGAAAAATGGCTAATTCAGAATTTAAGTTTTGTTTGAAATTGTTTAACCAATGAAAGAAAAACAAAGCAACAAATTAATGGCCTCCCTAAACGTCATGGACCGGGAATGATTGGTATCAAAGAGAGGGAGAAATCGGAGAATCGCTACACAAACATGAACGTCATTTAACAGTCATTCAGATTCCTGTTTTATAAAACGGAACCGGGAACAACTGCAATAATATTTGCATTTACAAACGATACGAAAGTAGTGTTTTCGTTGACTTGCTGTTAAGCGTAGTTGTTTCTGTCACACGTTGTGTCATTGACTTTGTTAACATTCGGGAAATGTAAAAGCGGTCTTTATTGTTAACAACTAGTCAGATATCTAACAGCGCAGAAGCACTCTCGAATATCTCATATATGCAAATGATAATAGGACCCATTATCCTAGCAGAAAGGACGCTATGATCACATACTTGTTCTGGGTTTATCTGCTGCAGTGTGGAACTGACTGTAGGTCAAGGTATAGACTCATCAGCGGTTAATGGACAACGGCACGACATCCATTTGAGCGTGTTTAGATTAGATTGTCCAACATCGCTATGGCCCAACTATCCGTAAATCATCAATTTATCACAAGCCCATGTCATATCGATCTAAGAGAAATATCGTCCGCAGTCTTTGTTGGAAAAACATGTCTTCAAAATTTCCTGCAACGTTATTTTCGAATTTGTATTGCGTAATTGGTTTAGGTTTGGAATAACGATTTCAAATTTCCAAAAGTCAAAAAAGGCAAGATATTGAACCATTTTCCTCGTGTACCACCACCAGCTTATCATGAACTGACAGCTTATTCTCACATACCGATTTATCATAACTTCACAAAACAACGGTCTAACATCTTACTGTGTTAAATAAATCTGCGCTTTTTCCTGATTTGGAGTTCGCAATTGGTCATAATAGCGGAAGTAGCGCATAGGAGACCGCACCACGGTCTGATAGCCATCCTTCACGTAAAAGCTACTGTTTTATGTAGATCATCATTCCCGATAAAAACTGCCTTTCCAAAATTACCCATTAAGTGTTCGAAACACTATTGATAAACATCGATCACTATTGCTTGTGGCTAATTGTCTTTTAGATACGGTTATAGAAATTTTACAGCATTTTACACAATCAATACTAAATACTATTATATACTTTATGGGAACACTGTATAATACGTATCATGTTTCATTATATTTTGGGTACCGAGTCGTTAAAAGAATGACGAACCGACTGGTGAGACAAAGTACATTTGACCAAAGGTTTATGGTCACTTGTAGATAATACTGAGGATGACACCTTAAGTGGATGAACTCTGGCCTCCTAAAGAAGAAATGCAGTGAATTCACAATATAATACATTTGTTATACTAATATTGTAAATTGTTGTGTTGTGAAAAAATACCCATCTTGTTGTATTATGTATAAACCAATATCATGCAGTTGAATATTGAATTTTGTTACCGTTTTGAGCTTCGAGACGCTTTAAACGACATGTTCTGACTGTTCGAGAGGTTTGTAACATGGCATGTGCACGCTACTTAAGGTTATATTTTTGGAAACTTTTCAGCGTTTGCTAAGCCCAGCCATGTTTAAGGAAGGTGCATCAATGTACCCATAAACATACCCAAGTGGGAACAAGCCCGTCATTCAAATTCAAAGAATTAGACCAGGCGTTTCGGAATGGTAAGCGTCGTCTGCTTCATCGACTATGTCATTTAAATTCATGTTAAAT